TCCCCCATGAAGTGCTTCACCCTCCCTGGGGGAACAGAGTGGAGTTTGGTGGGTGGTTGGGGTGGTTGGTGGGGTCGGGGAACCAGGGGAGGGAGAGGGAGCTGGGACTGACATATGAAGCAAGCTGAAATCAACTAGGAAGGGATCCTTTCTGGTACTGTTAACAATTGACACTATGGTTCATATGGCTGACAGAGTTTGGACACTGTGCTAGTTGGTTTTACCAGCTTGACACAAACTAGTCATGTAGGAAAATGGTCCCTCAACTGAGTAATTGTTTTCATTGACCTGTGCGAACGTCTGTGGTGTATTTTCTTAATTGCTAATTGATGTAAGTGGGGTCACATTGGGCAGCAGCATACCTAGGCAGGTACGCCACATCAAAACACTGACTGCTGTGATGAGGGAATGAAGAAAAATGGGTACATGAACACATGAAATGGGCGCAGGAAATCTGAGATCAGGTAGACTGGGATCTCTAATGGAGATACCACAGCGGTCTTGAAACTCAGCATACTCATTTTATGGAGTTGAACAGAGAGGAGGGGTTATTGCATACAACTGAACAAGGAGGTGGAGTTATTACAAGCAGATAAACATGAAGGTGGGATTTATGTTATGTAGCTAGATCAATGACACAGGTTTAGTTAATATCTGTAGAAATGGTCTCTGTAGGGAACAGTGTTATAAGTATCTGAGGAGGGAAAGCTATGAGGAACACTTTTATACACACTGTCAACACTCAAAGAAGGACATGTGAAGCATGCTATTTAAAATTAAAGTAATTAAAAAAAGAAGGCTTTCCCATCAAATAAGGCTTTCCCATTCTTCTGAGCCTGAGGCTTTCGAGGTTCTTTACATGTTAGAACCCATGTCTAACATTCTTTCACAACACTTAGGGCTTTCTTCTCTCCCCACACATGGATCTGGGCTGTAAAAGAAAATTATTAGCTGAACAAGGCAGAGGAATCGCATCTCTAAGCAGCACTCCTTCAAGGTCTCTGCTTCGGGTCCTACTTACAGGCTCCTACTTAATTCCTTGCTCTGAGTATGCTCCATGACGGGCTATAATGTGGAAGTGTAAACCAAGTAAGGCCTTCCCTTCCCAAGTTGCTTCTGGTCATGAAGTACATCACAGCAATGCAAAGCAAACTAGAACAGACGCATTACACTCAAATAAAAGAAGGCTGCTGACAACAGTGCCTGGGAGGAAGTAGGCAATCATACCACAAGGAGATCTTTGAAATTAAGATTTTAAAAGATCCATTTAGTCTGTTTACTAGGGGGGAAGGTAATGGGAAATTTGGTTATGAATGCCACTCCAACAAACTCTCTACGAACTGTTCGGTTTGATGCATGTCTAGTCTTTTTACCCCGTGGAGACTTGAAAAACCAGAAATTCCCAGGGGATACAAATAGAAACTTAATATTTAAGACATACTATGGCAACTGAAACTGGGTGTGGGGAAATGAATGCATGGATTCATGTATGGATGGATTAAATATTCTGTTAAAATATCAAATAAGGATGACTGTTACACTTGAGTTGTAGGGAAGCCAGAAGGTTGAGATGTCCATTCCCATCAGATGGACCTCAGATACCTAGGGATGGGATGTGGTCTCCTTTTCCAAGATGATATGGTCTGGAGGAGTGTGTCTTGTCAGTTCTTATACTTTCTGTTCCCAGCCACCTAGGGACTGAGGCAAAGGACCTCTCCTTTCAATTGTGTGGCTTCCTTTAATGGGAACCAATTACACCTCCTATCTGAAAAGGAGGGTGAAGAATTAGGAATTCTTGGGAACTGTGTCTGGATGACAGGGCCTCCATGCCTTTGAGGAGATGAACATAGTTTTCTAACTGAGCATGGCCAGGGCAGATGTCTGCTGGTATTGTGATGGATTATTGCTTGAAATATTATTGTCTATTGCGAACCTATGTAAGGTTGCCTTCATTTGTCTAATAGAAAAAGGGAGTTTCTAATTCCTAGAGGGTCATTTGAACCTCATATTTACATAAATTCCATCAGAGTGCTTAAAGGAATCCCTTACAAGTTTTAGAAGAGGAGTCAAATAGCAGCAGAATTTGAGTCAGTGCTGTTTTGGTGGACTATCATAAGTAAAAGTGTAGACTGAACAAATAATATATGCTAAAATCAACTATTTGTAAATTTGCCCAGTTATGTTTTCAAGGGTACAGTATATCATTTAGATGTTACCAGTAGAATGGCATGGGAAAATAGACTAGCCCTAGACATATGCTCATAAAAAGAGGGCTCTATGTCATGAAAGTTCACCAGCATTGCACTTTCATTCCTGTTTATACAGTTTCTGATGGCACCACTGCAAGGTCTTTTCAGGGACTAACTACTTTCCCAATAACTCATCTCATTTTATTTTATTTATTCCTGAATAAATTTATTTAGGAATAAGTGCTCCCTTTTCTAATCTTATTGAATGGCAGTTTGGAAAGGAAAAAGGGGAAATGATATCAGTTCTAGAAGTTATGAATATGTGTGGGAAATGTAAACAAAATGTACTGTATTTTCTGTCAAAAATGTTGACTAAGAAAAAAACCACTAAAATTATAAATTGCAAAATTTTGAATTCTTCCAGGATCAGCCCTCTTCCACTTCTCCCTAGAAACTGCATTGGTCTTATACCATTGATGCTGAGCTCTGACTACTCAGAATGAGTGTGGCACAGGATCCCTTTGCAGAGAGAGTCAAAATACCACTGGGTAGGGTTGCTTGCTTGGTCAACTTAGCATGACCTTCTGCAGAAGTAAAACTTTTGACTTTCCAAAATGCGTTGGTCATGTTCTTCAGACTACAGACGCATTTTCAGGCCTTCTCTTCCCTCCTCCTCAGACACACACCTTTTTACATTCTGTCCAGCATAGGAACACTAGTCTGGAGGAAAACTGACAAATCAGTTCCTATGTCCATATGCAAGGGACTCTGTATCTGCTAGTTCTAGTGGTTATAGATGGGAGCATTTCCTACTAAAACATAAAGGGCATGACAGGTAGCCATTGTCTTCATAGAGACAGGTAGCCATTGTCTTCATTGAATCCATTATTTTCCCTTTGGACTCCCCTAGTCCCTTCATTTCTAATATTAGAGAATAAGTGTAGTTCTCAAATTAACTATTATCTCCATGCAGCCTATAAGAAATGTGTTTTGCATCAACTGTTTTGAGTGTCCAATGAGGAACTCCAAGGACAACCTATTTTAACTTGTGTTGTTACTTGAATTAGCACCAGTTACTCCCATCTGCTCTTTGTGGCCAAACATCTGGCCTTGCTTTCCCAATTGGTATGGAGAGTTTTGAAGGGTTCAGATTTCCCTTGAACAGTTGGAACAGTACTTTGACCTAACATAAATTTTCTCAGCCTGTAGATAGATAAACCATCCATGTACTGAGGGAGGTTACTCCCAGAGAGAAATTTATCAAGGAACAGATAGCTTAGTTTCATTTTGTTATGGCAATAAAACCTGACCAAAAGCAGTTTGGGAAGAGAATAGCTTGTTTGGTTTATATGTCTAAGTCACAACCCATCATCAAGGGAAACTAGGGCATGAAGTCAAGCCAGGAACTCAAGGTTGAAAACGGGAAGCAAGAACAATGGAGGAACATGGAGTACTGCTTGCTGTCTCATTCTGCTAGCTTTCTCATACAGCCCAGGTCCACTTGCTTAGGGACAGTGCCATCCACAGAAGTCTAGGATGTCCTGCATCAGTTAATACGATAACCCCCTACAGACATGTCCACAGGACAATCTGATCTAAGTAGTTACTAACTGCAAGCTTTCCTCTCTGATGACTCTAGGTTCTGTCAAGTTGACAAAGTTAACTAAGAAAAGTATTTGCGTAGGTTCTATCCAAGAGTTGGGGGCAGCTACAAAAACGCCAGCATAACACAGTCCAGAAAAGCTTTTGAATAAACTAGATGGAGACAAACAGGAATTGAGAAGCTGAGTAGATAGAAATCTAGCATCCTTAGTGTCTAACATTGTGAACAAGAAGGTATTGGAGGGTATCTGCCCTAAGGAGTTGCAAAGATTGAAAAACATAGGATGGATTAGAACCAGTGCCCTTAGACCCCAAGCTCTTCTGTAGCCTTAAAAAATACTGTTATGGTAGAAGTGTTGTACAAAGAGCTACAAGGACTTAGTACTTAGGTAGGTGGGAGTTAATCAGTAAGCAGCAGTAAGCCATTTAATGCCTTGGGACTTTAAGGGTATTGGGGACTTCAGGGAAACTAGGGTCTGTAAGAGTATCTGACAGGAATGACAATTAATGGGTGCTCAGGAATACAGGTATCCTAGAATTTAGGAGGATTATATTTGGATGATGTAAGGTTCTGTACCAGAGACCATGGGGACAGTGTTGTCTGAGGCCCCAGTCAACTCCAGGCCATCACAGGACAGAGCATTGCAGGACAAGAATTCATGAGAATCACTAGATTGTCAAAGAGATTTAAATGGGCCTGAAATTTAAACTTGATATCCCTACCTAGGAGAGGAATGGCAGCGATCCAGGACCAGAAATGAATGAGTGAAGGGATATTTATCATAAATGACGTTTTTATGGCTAGGGAACAAAATAAAGTCGTAATCCAAGGCATCCTTCAATGAAATGCTGTGAACATTAGGTAGTTGAGTTACATCAAAGTGGAGAAATCTCAGCTATAGATTTCATATGTAGTCTGCTGATATTCGTAGCTTCTGAGTTAATGGTACCTAGTGGCCTTTCAATATGACTCAAGAGGTTTTGTATGATAGTCACAAAAGCTGTTAGGTTGGATTAGGAGACAATGATTGCTTATTAAAGGAAATATAGACATTTTCAGGCCATTGAGTCTTGTAATATACTGGAGAGATTCCTTCTACTGATCTGTCAAATGAACACATTTGGAAAACTTTATATGGAAGAGATGTGGAACCAGACAGCAATAAGAGAGATTAATGTGCTCTGACACTCATTTTCATATGTATTAGGTTTATTTATCATTTCCTTCATTGACATCAATTAAAGCCCAAAGCCCAAATTTCATAAGACAAATTGTTAAGTGGGTAAGGTTTTATTTATTTTAATAGAAGTCCATAATCCAACCAATGAAGTAATGAAACAAACAAGACAGAAAAGATAACAAGAGGAGTCATTGAACCATTTTCTGTCACAGGCCAGTTGAGCATTGTTGAATCTTTGGAGACTTCAGGGAGACATCTCCAAAATCCTTGCTATAACCACAGGGAATTTGGGATTTTTCAAGGTGAAGTAAATTCATTTTCAGAAATCAGGAATGTCTTTGATGTTTAAGGGAACATCATAAGAAATGAAAATCACGCCACTGAACAAAAACAGGACAGCCGCTAGCAATGCCACACCCATGGCAGCCCCAGCTTTCTGAATATCTGGATAAAGGGGCATAATGAAGGAGGGTGGAAAGGCAATCCCCTCCTTGTTTAAAATGGAGAAATAGTTGCACGAGACAGCAAGGAAGACAAAGCTATTAGCAATGATGTTCAGAATCGCTGAAGCACTTAAGGCATTGTGGGTAGTATTCCGTTTTTGTCTTTCTGAGTACACATTTCTAAGAGCAACAACGGTGGCCACTTTTCCAATCAGCCAGAAAATGCTGGTGATCAGCATCAGGTGTTGAGAAATACGAATATCCAAAGGGATGAAGGTGTCATAGTAGCTGTATTGGTAACACATTCTAATATTGTTGGAGTTGTTGTAGTGATAGATGCAGATTTTCCACAGTCCCACAAAGGCCACACTAGGGTAAGAGATCACACCTTCCTTCGGATACCACACTCGCCACTGTGGGAGGCCCATGGAGGTGATGCAAAGAATCCATGCTATGGTGGACAAAGCAAAACCTCCTACCTGGAGACTGAAATCTTGCTGGAACGGTTTTATGGCAGTGAACGCCCGACCACTGCAAAGAAATACAAGACAACATAAGGACAGGCTCCTCAAGTCTGGGACACTGTCTATTGGGTGACTAGTAACATAATGGATTAATTGTTTATATTTTAGAAAATAGGCCTTTGTTCTGGAAATTGCTATTGGGAATGTAGTCTAAGCAAATTAACTGAAAGGCCATTGGAGGATATTTACTGTGGCTTGACAATGAATTCTGATATTTCCATTTCTGACTGTTGGTCCAGATACACAATGAGGTTTGTATATAGATATTCAGCTACAAAGATGATGGCCAATTTGTAATATTGGGGGAGAGTCAAGGTCAGCATAATCTATATCCCAAGTTCCAGACCAGCCATAGCTTCATAGTGAGACTCTGTACCAAAAAAACTAATATAGAAAAGTCAATAAATGATGAATAAATCATTAATTAGCTATTAATGAGAAAAGTAATAGAAAATTAATTGATTCTAGGAAACACATACAGTGTACATTATCTTGAAGCAAACCAATTCGCTTGAATACTTTCCACATGTCAAAAGAGAGGACAATTTGGAACCTAAGAAAATGTTCACTCAGAAGCAAATCTAAAATTCATAAAACCACTAAGCATATTTCTTAGTACCTTTATACTGTCATAGTTCTGAATATTTGTTATTTAGATAGTCTGTTGTTTTTCTTTATCTCCCCCCTTTTTAAAAACCGCTTTAAAGGTTTATTTATTTATTATGTATACAGTATTCTGCCTACATTGCCTGCAATCCAGAAGAGGGCACAAGATCCCATTATAGATGGTTGTGAGCCACCATGTGGTTGCTGGGAATTGAACTCAGGACCTCTGGAAGAGCAGTCGTTGCTCTGAACCTCTGAGCCACCTCTACAGCCCTATTTAATACTTTTTAAAATTAAATTAAATTTAGTGTTTTTGAGACACTGTCTCCAACATACAAGGATTTTCTTCAGCTCATTATGTGGCCCAGGCTGGTTTCATACTCAAGAAAATTCAGGTGTCTCAGATTCCTGAATACTTGGAATACTTGGATTACAGGCATGTGCCGCCATGCCTAACTTGTGCTATGTTTTGTATTATTGTTTTATGATTGTTGTTGGTTTTGAGGTGGTACTGTTAGAACTCAGGTACTTGTGTGTGCTGGATAAATGGTTTACGTCAACCTCCCCAAATGTGTGTTTCCAAGGGCTTTATTTTCAGGCACTATCAATAATCATTCCCTTAGTGTCACAGAAAGAAAATGTGAGAAGCGAACTGTTAGATGGGATCCAAAAGAAATCAGTTTCTTGGAGCCAATTATCTTCTACATTAGTAGAATGTAACTCCTGGAAGCAAAAATCCGAAGGCATCTCTGTCCCGCGCTACCGTCTCGCCAGCAAGAACGACGCAGGACACTCGGATCCTTCTGCAGTAAAGCTTTAATACATCTTGAGAGATAGATGATCAGCTTCTGAGAGGGAGACCCCAAGCTAAGAAACCCAGCCCCTTATATAAGCCTAGGAGCTCCGAGTGAGACGTGTAGAGCCGGGATTGGTGGTTTGCTCATCACCCCAGATGACGGGTGAGGCACAGCTTAAACGGTAAACTCCAACTGACAGCAGATGTCAGCGCCATCTTCTAATGGCGATAGCGATAGTGAGGGCGGCTCCTCACACATCTCTATTTTTATTGTCTAAGAAGCATCATTTGGGGGCTGTAGAAATAGCTCAGCAGTAAAGAGAACCTACTTACTACTCTTGCAAAGGACCCAGGTTCAGTTCCTGGTACCCACATGGTAATTCATAATTGTCTGTAACTCTGGTTCCAGGGAATCTGATTCCTCTTCTGACCTCCTTGGGTTCCTGCACACACACACACACACACACACACACACACACACACACACACACACACACACATTAAAATAAATAAGTCTTAAACTATTTAAAAAGCAGCATTTAGAGGTGACACTCACTCACTGTTTTGTCCATAGTTTACATTTCTCGAATGACGCCTGTGTGTCAGTTACTAAAGACAGTCTCAATTTCAGCCAGTGTGGGAAGATGCATCAAGGGAAGCAGGGTGTCCCAGTGGAGCAGATGGTGGAGAGGTGAAGCCACATAATGGTGAGGTGGTGGTGGAAAATATTCTTGAAGGATACGTCTCCTGACAACCGAAAGGTGATAGGAGTCCAAGTGTGAGAAATGGGGAGAGGGGATGCCACCATGTGCCTGAGACCTGCCCTAGATGGAGAGGTCAAAATGTCTAGTCTAACAACCTTGAAGACTGATAAATGGCAGATGTGAGTTCAGAAGAATGAAGGGTAAGTGGGAGAAGTGAAGCAGATTAATCTATTGACATCACAGGGTTCTGGGGGTTCGAGTGGCAGTATCATGGACAGGAGCACAAAGTGAAAGAGAGAGGCAGACTGGTCCCTAAAATCATATATAATGGCCACAACAATCCTGGTGGAGACCACATTAATTATTACCATTGTCTTTGAATGGATAGTCCTGAACAAACTATTTTTGGCAGAGGAGATTGAAACTATTGTATCACACTCTTCCACTGAGTTCATATTATATTGCTATATTGACAGCCCTCTTAAAATTTACATCTTGAGGCAGGATCTTGTAAAGGGTCCATAGTCCAGGAAGACTCTTTTTGGAAACAGGGTTTTCCTATATAGATCTGGCTATTCTGGAACTTTCTATGTAGACCAAGCTGGGCCTGAACTCACATAGATCAACCTGCCTCTGCCTCCCAAGTGCTGTGATTAAAGCCATATGCCACCACCTTCAACATAAGGAAGATATTCTTTTGCTACACTTTGCTTGATCTGAGTTATGACCTTATTATGTAGACCACGCTGGCTTCAAACTTAGTATATAGCCCAGACTGTACTTAATCTGGTGTGACTTCTCAAATCCATTGTGAGACAGACTGGACTTGCAGTGGTGTTCCTTGAGATTTGGCCTGCACCTGGGTACCATGTTGCATTTATGAGACTAGTAGTTAGAAGACAGTGAACAGTAATGCTTGAATTAAATTTCTGAGATACCTTTGCTGTTGAGGGGTGGGTGAAATTGAGGTCTGCACACTCTGTCCCTAGTGTAAAAGCTCCCACCAGAGAAGCCATATTGTCCTCAATTGACATCAATAGATTCAACAAACTAACTCTTTGTTCTAGGCCCATCTATACTGCCAAACCTTTGAAAGTATCAAAAGTTCCAGGTATTAAATGCCCACTCATGAGGAAAAGAGAAGTGAGGGAGTACAGGCAGTCCACAGGAGCAGAGAAGAGACACCACCCTAACCCTGTGTGGGAGTGGGCTGTGTGTGGTATAAGAACCAGGAGAACTGCTAAGAGCATGGTAGTGTGAAGGATGATGTCACAAAAAAGTAAGAGGAATTCTGGGTGGCTTTTTAATGTTTAGGAAGAACTTTTATGGAAGAGGTCTTTTCCAAGTGATTGGGATGCCCAAGTTGCAAATGTATCTTGATTGTGTAGCAGAGAATCAATCAAGAAGGCAGGAGTGGGGTTAAAGAAAGCAGTCATGGGATTTATCCAACTGTCATAGTGACAGCTAAACACAACACAACACACACACACACACACACACACACACACACACACACACATGCACGCACACAGAGAAACAGAGACAGAGCGACAGAGAAAGTCAACACCAAAACATTGCATATGAACAGGTGTTTTATTTACACATTTGCACACAGAGAGACAGACATGCTATCTGATGTTCTGCCTGCTATATATTGAGAGCACATGAGTCTTTCTAGGCTTGAGAATATGCATGCAGAAATCGAAAGGTCTGGCACTTACAACCCTTCATGAAGGCAGTCTGTGAGCAGAAGGATCCAGACAGCTTGTCTTTGGGGCCACATTTCCTGATCATTTGCTCAAATTCTGATAGAGAACATAAGACAGAGAATGTAGCAACAGAAATGACAGAGAAAGACAGAGAGACGCAGAGACAGAGGCAGGGAGACAGAGGATGGTGCTAATGCATGGCATCATGACAGAGAATAGATCGTACAACATATCACTAGCCTGGATGAAGGTCCCCACTCAAAATTCAAATCATAGTTTCTACAGAGATTGTTCTGACTTTTACATTGTTGTGATATTGAGAAATAAATCGTTAAATTGAACCACCATGATTCAAAGATTCAGTGTTGCTCAACTTTCCATAGGTGCGATCAGAAATACTTGAAAGAACAACTTAAAAAGAAAGCATTAAGTTTGGGTCAGATTTCAGAGATTTGAGTCTTTTGTCCTTGGCTTTGTGGATTCCACCAGGGCTAAAGCCAGATATCTGTCAGATGAGAGCAGGTGACAAAAGCTACTAACCTCATAGAGGACAGGGATGAGAAACAGAAGGGACCAGGGACAAGTTAAAATCTTCAAAGGCATGCATGCTGGTACTTACTGCTAGTTGTGTACTAACTAAGTATTAAGAACCTCCCACAACACTGTCACCATCTAGGGAACAAATATTTAACACATGAGCCTTTTGGGGGTCAGATCACATCAAAACTATACCATCACCACAGAAGATCAAACACTGATTACACTCAGGAGATCCTTGGTGTGGTCAACTCCACAGACACAGGAAGCAAAATGGTGGTTACTAGGAGTTGGTGTAGTCAGAAATGGGAGATGACATTTAATGAGGACAGAATTTCTGTTGGGTGAAGATGGGAAGCGGTGGCTCCTCCACAGCACTGTTAATGTATTTATAGCCACAGATCTGTACACAGACAGGTCAGCGATGAATCGTGGTATGTATAGTTAGCCATATTGCTTGGAGTGTACCAGAAAGATGGATTGAGCCTCTACTAACCAGCAATGCTGTCTTCACATGGACCAGTGACAAGTTACGTGGCAAAACAAGCAGCTATCTGGGCCAGCAGGGATGATGAGGACACAGCTCTCTTAAGTCCTTTGATGTCCTTGGCGGCTGGCAATAGGCCTGGCCTGTTTTTATAGTTCTGAGAACTGTACTATGTTATCAAATTTCCCCCACACCTACCTGTTTTCAGTTATTAATGTATGAATATCATGATACTATTTGGGGACACATTGTAGCACTGCCTTTGCTTTCTTTAGTCAGGTATCCCCCACCCCTCTTTTGCAGCATGGGTTGTATATACTAGTGGCACTTTCTACTCGTGCCAAGGCCCAGCTGAGTAATTCACACCTTGTCTGGCATCCTTTTCTTTATCCCATCCCTTTGAGGCATAGTTTCTCATCCCAGTCTCAGAGAAGTCACTGCCATATTTAGATGCAAGTGCTAGCAGGGATAACATCAACACACTAGGAAAGATCCTGGTTAATTCATCAGAGATGTGCACAAAGATCCAAGTGTATGGAATGTGGAACAGCCAATGAGGTTATAACTGAGACAAAAGGGAAAGCCTCCTAAGACACATTGATGGACCACATGTGGTAGCCCTGTAGAGTCTCACAGTGGAATACTCTGCAGCCACACCAATTATGTTGAGTTACAAAGAAGGAAACATCCCAACACTGCTTAGTAAAAAGGGAATTTAAAAAATATGTCATTTTCTAAATTCTATTTCTATTTGAAAAAAAAGTAAAAGGAAGAAATGGAGACAGAAAATGATTTCAGAGAGGGAAGGAAAGGAAGGAATTTGTAACAAGATGGTATTTTTCTTGTTTTTGAGACAGTTTCACTGTGTAGCTCATGGTCAACTTCAGCTTCTAATTCTCTAACCTCTGACCTCGGAGGCCTGAGATTTCAGGCATGTGCCACCACTGAACACTTCCTAAACACAGAATTCTAATATAGTGACTGTATCTGACTTCAAGATTGAAAAATGCTTTATTGTTTCTTTAATGTTTTGTAATATATTGATATATATTTCTATGCTGACTAAAGGTTGTCTTTAGAAACAGAAAAACAACACTGGTATGAATTGTCCTTCAATATCTAGACCATTATGTAGAGGTCTAGCCACAGATACCCTGGACAGATTTCCCTGAAAATAAGAAGGGCGACTAGCTTTATGCAGAATTTAGACACAATGTCTGCACAAGGCCTGGGTTCCAAGAACATTACCCTGTTCACTCATATAAAAACAGTTCACCTCTGATTGAGAGGACATGCACAGTAGGTCAGCAGTGCTGAGTCACTTGCTCAGGCCATGCAATTGTGAAGTGAAAGGTGCTTTTGTACCAGGCTAGCTTCTCGGGGTTTGAATGCCTTTGCATTTGACCATGTGATTTGCCTAAGCCAATAGAAGGTTTCAAGGTATGGAATGACCAATGCCATGACAAGCATTTTGGGGGGGGGGTTTACGAGACAGGGTTTCTCTGTATTGTTTTGGAGGCTACAGGTCCAGCCCAGCCTCGAACTCACAGAGATCCACCAGCCTTTGCCTCCCGAGTGCTGGGATTAAAGGCGTGCGCCACCACCGCCCGGCCATGACAAGCATTTTTATGCATGGACACTGCTCTGTTTTACCTGCTAAGGACATGCTTAATTCACATAATTGCTTCCAGCAACAAGATAAGGGTCCCTTGGCACAGAGAACAGTCTGTACTAGTAGCTGGACCTACAAACTCATGAGTTAAGTAGATATCTTGTACTGTGCATTGCTGAGAATTTATAATTGTTACATATCACAAATATTGACAGTTAATCTGTGCCCCTCACCATTGCTGGACTGCAGACATACGATCAATAGCAGAGACTGCTCAAATAATTGAAGAATCTCCCTTATGATGAGGCTCTTCCTCCTCCTTCTCCTCCCCCTCTTCCTCTCCCTCCTTTCCTTTTCCACTTTCTCCTCTTCTTCCACTCCCCATCCCCTCCTTTACCAACATCCCAGCCATCCCAATTACATCTTGTTGTATAGCCCAAGCTGGTTCTAAAATCTCATCAATGCTCTTTCAGTATTTCAGGTGTGTGATAACATGCATAGTTTAGGTTATTTTTGGTGGAAAAGAATAAGCAGGTTAGAAGTTTTGTGGACAGTCAGCTCCACCTTTCCTAATGTGGCCCATGTTCATAGGAAGGACTGATCACATGGAAGGAAGAGGAGGCTGTGGGGACAGAGCAAGTCCTTTGCAAGGTAGGAGGGGTTTCACTGAACAGGAATGACCACTTTTTCAAAGGCTTTCATTCAACAAGTATTCGTAGGCTGCCAACAAGCCCATTTGTGTTCCTCAACACTTGTCAGCCTTGACTCAACTGCTTTGAGGGCACTTTCATCTTTACCAGAGCCTCTGGCACCAGGAACCTCTGGCTCAAGAAGCCTGGGTTTTAGTACTTTAAGACAACATAAGCGAATATACATACATGGATGCATGTTCAGGAAAGGCTGTGGTTACTGCAGAGAAAAGGGCAATCTCTGCACCTGCTGCAAGTTCAGGAGGAAATGAGAAGTAATTGATTACTTGATAGAACAAAGACTCCAGTGATAGCTGAACTTCAGGTCTTCTGAGGGACTTCCACCCTGTTCTCCATGTATTTGCTTACATAAACATCTTTTTGGGAACTACACAAGATCAATACACGTTTAAAAGTGGGTCATAACCAAGCCCTTGGTGGCTGAACATTTTTATGTGCTTCCATGAATGTATCCTGTTTGATGGGGTATCTCATCAAATCCTTTGCCCACTTATTAAATTGAACTGTTTTTATTCTTACTTGAGTTTTGGGAGTTCTTTATATAACCAGGTGTGTTGATATATTGCTTATGATTTATTAAAGCCACTGAAGATCAAAATAGCAAAACAGTCACACCAGTGAGCTATAGAAGCTAGGTGGTGGTGGTATACACCTTTAATCCCAGGACTCAGGATTAAGAGGTAGATGGATCTCTGCTAGTTCAAGGCCACACTGACTACATGAAATTGATCCAGTCCTAAAGAGAAACAGCTCACACAAAGATGATTTCACCACTTGGGATCACACACCTTTAATCTCAGAACTAGAGAGATATAAAAAGCAAAGGGTCTCATGTGGAGATTGATTCTCCAACTACACTGAGGAGAGGCAGCAGTCTCAGGCGTGATAGAGCTCATGGAGACAGGGTCAGCCCTTTCAGCCTGAGATAGAGGTAAGAGGTAGTGGCTTGACTGCTTTGCTTCTCTGATCTTCAGCTTGAAGCTTGAACCCCAATTTCAGTCCCTGGGTCTTTTATTTAGCATGCTACATCCAGGCAACAAAGCATTTATCAGATGCATGCAGTCATGAAGAAGGCTCGCTAGTGTGTGTTTGTGATTGCCAACACTCAGGAGGTTGATGCAGGAAGACCAGAAGGTCAAGACTATCCTTGCCTACACAGGAAGATTGAGGTGAAACTAGGCTACATGTCACCCTTCTTACTAAAACAAACAAGCAAACAAACAAATCAGATCCATGGCTTCCAAGTGTTTTCTCACAGTTTTGTCAACTGGGAATTAATAGGATGGCAGTGTTTTCCTAATGCATAAGACTCTATTTAGCACCTTGCATTTCAGTTGGTTAGAAGGCCTCAGAAGCTTGAAACTCTGTTTCACATGTAGGTGCTAGTCAGTCCACAGGACCTTTGACAAACCAGTGTGCTGCCTATTTTTTGTGTCAACTTGACATAGCATAGGGTCTTCTGAGAAGAGGGAACTTCAACTGAGAAAACGCATCCATCCGATTGACCTACAGACAAGCCTGTAGGGCATATTATTGGTTGATGATGGATGTGGAAGGGCCCAGTCCATGGAGGGGGTGCTGCCCTAGACTATGTAGCCCTGAGTTATATAAGAAAACAGGCTGAGCAAGCCATGATAAAGAGCAGACCTAAGCAGCACTCCTCCGCATTGCATTAGTTCCTGCCCCCAGGATCTTTTCTTGACTTTCTGCCCTGACTTTCCTAGATGATGAACTACAAGTTGTAAGATAAAATAACAACATTCACCAAGTTGCTTTTGGTTCTCATGTTTTATCACAATAGAAAAGTAACCAATACACACAAAGAAGGGGTTCTTATGGTGCTTGTGTGTCATGGTAATAGCAGAGAGGTAAAAACAGAAAAGCCATAAACTGTGATAAATGATCATATGCACAAAATGTTTCAAGGAAGGTAACTTCAAAATATTCCATGCGATTCAAGAAGCCAAGGACTAGTGAGAACATTATTACTAAGCAACTTTTTGTTGTTTGTTTTGAAACAGGATCTCACTGTGTAACCCTGACTGGCCAAGAACTTGTTCAATAGACCAGGCTGGCCTCAAACTCATGGAGATCCAACTGCATCAGCCTGGGATCAAAGGCCTGAGCCACCACAACTGGCACTGGACATACTTTAAACCAAGTAATGTTACTTAACTGGAAAATATCATTTGATGTGTGACAGGACAAAAAAAATAACCTCTATCTGTTTATTTTGGGTGGGTTTCAAACCTGCATACAAGCTACTGAATGATTTTAATCCTATAATGGGTACACTTAACTCACTGGTTGTTCATTTCACAGTGAATTTTAACCACTCGGAAACCATTCATGTTTCCCATACATTAATAAGTTGCCATCCTCATTGATTTTTTTTGGCTCGGTCAGAGAACAACTTGATGAGAGACACATGAATGTTCACACCGCTGAACTAACTAAGACAAAACATCCCATGGCTGGCTGAATCACAATCGTCTCTCCTTCTCTGCACCTTAGGGATGTATTGTGTATCCACATATAGGAAGAAGAATGACAGTCCTACCCATGCAAACGACTGCTCATGGCTCCTTTGGTCCACCCTTCATTTATCCTAGGCGCCTCACCAGTCAGCAGATCTCAGAGCTCACGTCCTGTGTAGTCACATGTGATAGGAAACTCTTCTGAGCAATCCAAGAGAAACAAAAAGTTAAACCATCGCACACTGATTGGATGTAACCAGTTTTCAAGTACTTGTGTGACTCGAGAGGTGTCTTTCTAGGAAATTAACAAATAGGCTGGAGTTTTTGCTTGCAATCCCATGCATAGAGCCACTTGGGGACCAGCCCTGCCTCTTCAAGGCTTTTACCCATGTCTTTGATCCACATGAAAATCATAATTATTCCAGCTTGGAATATAACAAATGCACTATTTCTAGTTGTCCCAAAGAATTACAGTAATGAATTCCTGTTCAGATCCCATCCGAGCTGCTTCGGGATTAAAAACCTGTTGGGTGTCCTCAGTACAGCACTTCCTGATGCACCATCAAATTGTGCTGCATGCCTTCTCTTTTTTAAATTACCTTTTTAAAGCTTTGAAAAAAGTTACTAATTTTTATTTCATATACATAAATGTTTTGCCTATGTCTTGTGTAGATCTTCCCCCATCTTGTATTCTTGCTGAGGCCATTCCATGTTTAACTAGAATCTTGTCTCCTTGATGAAGAATCCCATGGAAAACTATCCAGCCCTATTCTAGGAACCAAAGGTCAGGTTGTCCTAGCTAACTTACCTTAGCCTCTGTTAAACTCCTGTTTGTACAGAATCACCTCCAATTAACTGTTTACCTTACTTCTGTTAAACTGCCTGTTTGTATGAAGCCCCCACCCGCTAACTTACTTCTTATCTAACTGCTAAAGCTGCTTGCTTCAAACTACAGAGTGAGATGCCAGGATGTGGTTTCTGCCTTTAAAAACCCTGTATTCTGGACACTAAGACCTACACCCAGGTCCTTGAACATTTGCTTGGGTATGGTCAAGTCAGCGGGAATAACGAATTTCAATTAGCTATACAGTGTGTTTGAGAGGTCATCTTTGGAGAGCTCCCATACTACAACATAATCCTTAGACAGAGAGACCCTAGGTTTGACATGAACTTTGAAATCCAAAAGCCCACCCTCAGTGACATACTTCTTTCAACAAGGCTATGCTTCCTAATCCTTTCAAATAAGGTCACTTCCTGGTGACTAAGCATTCAAATCTATGAACCTTTGAGTGCCATTCTTATTCAAACTACCACAGATCTGGAGGAGGAGTTACAGACAGCTGCAAGCTGCCCTGGTTGGTGCTGGGAACTGAACCTGGGTTCCTGCAAGGACAGCAAGTGCTCTTAACCATGGAGTCATATCTCCAGCCTCCAGTTCTTAGTTTACTAAATCAAAGCTTGCTTTGACTCTTGGTTCTGTGACACATTGATGGAGACAGCTAAGACCACTAGGGAATGCTGGATACATGTACATCATGGTCTGAGTATGTCCCCCAGAATTCAATGTTGGAAAATTCATCTCAGAATCTATATGTTGATGGTATTTGTAAGGAAATATCATAATGGAATTAGGATCAGATAAGATCATGATCTCAGGGCTCACCAGAGTGACTCAGTAGCTTCATAAAATGACAAAGAGAGATTTGAGTGAGCATGCTTGGTCCATCTCTTCTTGCTGTGCCTTCCATGTTGCTACTGAGGCAGAATAGGAAGACAGGGACTATTTTGGGGACATGAGACGTGAGATGGGTCCCTAACCCAAGAATCTGTTTGAAGCCTTTTCCAGCAGACAAGCAAGAATTCCAAC